ACCTGACAGCCAGTGGTAGTTAGATTTTACCTTTTGTCAGAACATGCACGATATTTTTTTTTTCATGGTTTCTCAGATATAAAAAACCTATCATCAAAGATTAGACTAAACCTGCACGGGAAGTGGACACCGTAACAAATATATCCTTAGTTAGAGCAGTTTTCAATTGAGTTCACAAAAAACAAAACCAAAGTAACCCCAGCCACCAATAAGAACGAAGGTTTATGTCCTCATCGCCAAATGAGAACTCACAATTAAAACTGCAAACTGCTGAAAGCGCGGGAAAACACTGGTGGCCAATTCGCGACCGGCTTCAGTTTTCAAATCTGATTGGTTGAGAAAAAGGCGCGAGCTTTTAGACCAATCACAGAGGTGAGTAACGCAAAACCAAAACGGCCCCGAGAAACTTTCGACTCTCAATTGAAAATTGCTCCAAAGTAACAGGAGAAAATTCTCCACGTCTGCAAAAAAAAACAAAACAAAACAAAACAATCTCCGGTTGTCGAAATTAAGACGAAGAGCTCCTCATAGTGGCCGGAGAATTCTCCGACCCCCAATGTGTAACGAACACACTGATTGATCGTTAATTCTTCAATAACATGACCGTTATCCTTCAGGTTTTTCAATCCCTATAAACGAGGCTTACAGTAATCTACATTTTAGTGTCTTATAATACTCAATTGAAAAACAATAAAAATCGATTCATCAAGAATAGTAAAAGTTTCAGGTACCACCCGGACATAGGTACCAATAAGTAAAACAAAGGTCATGAAAACATTACAGAATGCTATTGAATATTTATAGCTAGGGTTTGAAAATTCAAGATAATACGATTCTGTTCTTAGCAGTCAGTAAAATATGAAGTACTGTAGTATTGTAGTTTCATTTTATATTTTTAAGCTAGATTGAGAGATTTCTTCACGGTAAGGACGACGTTTTGAACCTGAGGAATTGTGTTTGATTCTAAGAGATGAGCATACGGCATAGGAATGTCCGCCCCAGTAACTCGGTAGATAGGTCCATCCAGATAGTCAAATGCCTCGCCTAAACAAGAAGAGAAAAAAAATTGATAGTGGTGGTCGAAAAAAGTAATATCTAAACTATTTTGAACACCACGTTCACATCTTTGTGGGCAGCAAATTAGAGAGAAATTTTCAATTGAGTGTCGAAAGTACTCCGGGATAGCGTTGGTTTTACGCTATATGACTGGTTCAGAAAACTCTCGCCACTTTCTCGACCAACCAGATTGAAAACTAACACCAATCGCAACTTGGTCGCCGCGTTTTTCCCGCGCTTCAGGTAGTTTAGTTGTTTTTACTTTGAGTTCCCATTGGCTCCGGGTGATAATTCCTTGGAATGATTGGCTGTTGTGATTGCTTTGCTTTTTTACGACACTCAATCGAATGCGCGCGATTTTTTATTAATTTATCAAGCAACAAACAGCGTCGTTCTTCCACTGGAAGAAATGCGAGTCCATAGCTGGGATGTGGCTATTCAAAACATACACTGCTGGATTATAAGGCTCTATCGTAGATAACGAAAGTGACGTAAGTAGAAATACACCTACTTTCTGTGATAGTAGCAGCAATTTCTGCCCCAACACCAAACTGAGGCCAGCCACCCTCCACTGTAATCAAATGGTTGGTTTTCTTGAGAGAATTTGTAATACATTCCATGTCCATTGGACGGATGCTCCGCAAATTTATCACCTAGAAAAGACCAATGGAGGGGTTTTAACAACACTTTGGATGGTACTAGTACTAGTACATCTCAGTAGTGGGTTCTCGTCGATGTCGTTATCACCGTCATGGTCGACATCAACTTCACCTTTGTCATCATTTAATTGTCATCGTCATCGTCATCATCAATGTAAACGTCATCGTCATCATCAATATAATCGTCATCATCATCATCAATGTAATCGTCATCGTAATCATCAATGTAATCGTCATCGTCATCGTCATCATCAATGTAATCGTCATCGTCATCGTACATGAAATTGGAGTCGTCATCATAAGTCATCCATCGTTATTGCCAATAAAATCGTTATCATTATCACTGTGGCTCACACAGTCGCCATCGTCGTCGTCGTCAATGTAATCGTCATCATTTTCGTCATTGTAGCCTCAAGACTTCGGTGCACATACCTCGCAGTCAATATTTTCTGCCTCAAGCTGTTTCGCAGCCTCCAGAGAAATCTGAACAGACCTTGAGTGAGCTACGATGGTTATATGACTTCCTACAATATGACAACAACAAAACTAATTATTAGATCATGAAAATCATTGATAATCATTGAGATAAAGGAACCCAATGAACTTCTAGTGCACAAGTCCAAGGAAAAAAGGGATGACTCACCTGTTCTCTCTATTTTAGCTTTTCCAAAGGGAATTACAAACTCAGGGTCTAATGCTTCCTCTGGCATATCAAACTGCACACCGTACATGACTTCATTTTCAAGCACCACCACTGAAGTTGTGAAGGAAATAAGCAATAACCTTAGGCTGGTCAAAAAACATGTAAGAGTAAATACTGATCAATTTTTCCTTTGCATATTTATATATCTTCGTAAGAAACGACTCGAACTGATTGTACCGTGCAGATTATAAGAAAATCTAGCATCAATCTAAATGATAAGTAACATGGCTGCCAAACAGTATTCTAATACAGCTGTAACTTTGCTTGATCTAATGATCAGGGTGATGGCCTCCAGGGTCACTGTGTAGTGTTCATAAACAAGACACTTTACCCTATCAGGATACCTGGATCATTATCTCTGATGGCTGACTTCAGCAAACCTTTAGCATCTTCAGCTGAATAAGGGGATACCACCTGGAATACAAGAGAGAAGAAAAACTCTTATTCGTTTCCCAACTTCATGACTATTGATGAGTTGTTCACAAATTAAAAAAAGCAAGCAGAATGGAAGCCTTAATCAAATAAAAACGATAGTAGATTTTGAGCTTAGTAATGAAATTACTTTCAATTTCAATTTTAATTTCTTTCGTCTCGTCAAGCGTGGGTCAAATGAAAAAATCGGAAACCCATGAGGCAGCCAACCATAACCTTTAGATTAACAGTAATTAACTAGTAATGGCCTGACTCATTGTAAAGTTGTACTCTCTGTAGAGCGTAGCTTGTGATCAGTGGAGGAGCACTGAAGTGCAGAATTTGAGGGTCTGAGGTTTGAATCCTCATCCGTATTTCGATTTTTTCTTTGTCTCACACTCATGACGATACACAAGGAGCTTACATGATTCAATTTTTAGGGCTTAAGAGTGGAGCTTTGCAAAGACTCATTCAGGGTCAAAATGTGAGTAATCATGTTTCTTGAAAACCATAAACAGCAAACACCTGCTTTAAAATACAATTTGATTTGTGCCAAAATGTTAACCAGCCCTAATGAATAACATTGCCACTGTATAACAAATTGCACTTAAGAATTATCCTTTTTAAGGTTTTGTTTGGAGGAAGGGGTACGAGGAGGTACTTTGGGGATAGTGAGTTGCTTGTCAGAAACTTGAAGCTCTAGATGCACGGGGAGTGTGTGCCGTAAAAACTAATCTTTCAAGAATTGCTTCTGACCTTCAGGCCAGGACAGTGACCATACCAAGCAGCATAACACTGTGAATGCTGAGCAGCCACTCCTGCAGCTGCACCATTTGGACCTCTGAAAACTACAGGGACTGGGACCTAGGTTTGATAGAGACCAAATAAAACAATAACTTGTCCACTTGGATAGATTTTTATTCAAGCCTTGATAATAATTTTGTATTATCCCTACAGCTGTGATCTGCTTCCTGCAATTTCAACAAGCTAAGAGAGGTGTCAAATATATTAGGTAAATCTATGCCATGTATGATCAGGCTTTACTTTTTTTTCACACTGAGGACAAGAAGACTGTAGCAATAGAGAATTACAATCTTCAGTTTCTGTAACATAAGGCACGTATCCATACAAGTGTTCAAAGTTCAACACATATTATTTAACCCTTTCACACCTAGGAGTGACTAAAATCTGATTTCTCCTTACATTATCAAAACAATATCAAGCAGACAGATAATGAGAATAAAGAAAGTATCAACAAAAGGGATAATAATTATTTGATCCAACATCAAATTGTTTGAGAACCAACATTATCAGAGGGAGTGCCATCGAGATCTCAGGAATAAAAGGGTTTAAGACCTCACAAAAATTAACAAGGCTCTTTGACAATACACGTAGTACTATTCTTTG